CGCAAGATACTTTTCGGCCCAAGAATTCTAGGAATCTAGGATCTTGAAAGTTAGAACAAAAGCACTGGCCCCACATACCCCACACGTGGTCCCTTGGAACTCCGGGGGAGGTGCTCATTCAAACGGTCTTCAATAATATTTTACAAGTTTACGCCGATTTATTCACGTCATATTTATATATTATATCTATTTACCTGGTATAGCAGCTTTACGCTTTAGCTGGTATAACATTTTTAATATATTATTTCAAATGCCCGCCAATTCTTTGACCGTTAGATAAATCTTAGAATACGGTTTTCGAACCATAGTAGAAAGGGCAGGGAAGGGAATGATCACATCGGCGATGGGATCGTTCACGTTCTCTCGAGCTCGAGAATTGGGCACCTGGGAGGGGATGAAATTCCACCAGACCAGATCATGCAAACTCCCCTCAAGATTCTTCTGAAATTCATTGAATATACAGGGATAATGAGGGAGTAAAATTACGAGGGCACAATAGAACAGAAATGACCGCGGTGCAAGGCCAAACACAACCTCGGCGATGAGGAAAGGGTTTTAGTGGCTAAACAGCTTAGCAAGTGCATAAAAAAGCATTTCCCAAACCTCACCGGAAAAAAAAATGACAATAGCTTTCGCCACGCAACTTTCTGACTCGGCAAACATCAAATTTCGTTGATAAATCGTTTCGGACCTATTGTCAACATTTTCAAAGCCGTTCGTCTTAAAAAAATGTATTCGTTTGACGAATCTGAGAAAGAAGTACGTAGAAAATTTGACGAATACGCAAGTCTTAAAATTGAAACAGAAACCTTGCTAAAAACACGTGGAGAGCAATACCTACTAGTCTACGAAGCATATAAAAACTGGACAATTTAATACCTAAATTTACTTTCAAGCTCAGAAGAAAAAACAGTAGTGGTATATTTTACCAAACTATGTTAAGAAAAACTTTAAGTGCTAAAAGGGATGTAGATATTAGTGGATTTTTAAACGTAAAAGCCTTGCTAAAAAATAATAGCAAAGGTTATAAACAAAGCAGTCACTTTGAGATGAAGTGACATCGAAAAATTGATAAAGGAAGCGTTTATTTAGCATCTAAGGTAATTACTTCAATTATTTTAATAACTTTGATGTTTCTAGCTCTGATAATATGAAATACTTTAACGTATATGTCTTTCAGGTTATTCTTATATTTGGAATTTGTGGTGGACTCCGATGCGAAAAATGTCATCGATCAAGGCAATCGATTCATCGGATCAGTCCTTAAAACTAAAACACACCATTTACAAGATTTTATCATTGGAGAACTTTTCTATAAAACAGTCAATAAGTATACAGAGCGAGTTTTTTAAAGTGTTACAAGGCTATATCTCAGAAACGGTTTCAAATATATTTATAAAAATTTGGGAAAATAAGAAATTGGTAGGGGGACATATTTTAACATGTTTTATTATTCTACGCAAGCACCCTTTGTGAGAGGTAAAGGCAACATTAAAAATTTAAATGAACATAAGACACTATGTTCGTGTACAATTTTTATGTAATTTGATCACTTAGTTCCAGAATTATGACTTGCAACATAAATTTATTAAATTATGACCCGACTAATAGTAATCAAATATGTTTCAGGAGATGTTCAAAATGCCTGCCTTCAACTACAAATGTTTTAAAGAATTTTGCACTCGCTTTAACATTTCAGATGTACTAACAAGCAGGAAGAGAAAAATATTTCTTTCGTGTCATCTGAGGTGGTGGGTGCAGTGGCCATCACTTTATCTTTTATAAAACCCCGCAAAAAATCAAGCGGCGTCAGATCTGGAGATCGCGCAGGCCAGTTGACTGGATCACCGCGACCAATCCATTTGTTTGGAAATATTTTATCTAACTGACTACGGGCCTCCACGACATAATGGAGTGGAGCCCCATCTTGTTGAAACCACACATTCATGTTCTGGTTCAATAACTGGGACAAATTGTTTCTTAAAAAGTTGGTGTACATATTTCCATTTACATGTCTTTCAAAAAGATGGGGACCAATAATTCTATCCCCAATTATACCACACCAAACATTAAGCGACCAGGGATGTTGGTTTGGAACAGTCCTGATCCAGTAAGAATTTCCCGCCGCCTAATAGTGCAAGTTATGTCTGTTCACCTTTAAAAATATATTCTAAAAATTCCTTTCAACATCGTAAATGTTATCTGTAATTTACCTGCCCGCAGTTGGAAAATGTGGCTTTATCAGAAAAGCAATGTTTTCCAAAAATTTGTCATTATCCTCCATTTGCCCCGTGACCCAATTGCAAAACGTAACGCAGTTTTGAACGTCTTGTCCATACAGGTCTTGGTGAAGTGTGATATGATATGGCTGTAATTTATACCTGTGCAATATGGTTATGACCGATTTTTGGCTTAGTCCAGCATCTCTAGCAAATAAGTCTAGTCCCCACTTGAGGGTCAAGAACGACCTCTCCTAAAACTCCTACCGCCAGATTTTCGTTTGTTGCAGTGCATTTCCGTCTTCGTGTTTTTTTCCTTAACACTTTCACTGCTCACCAGTTAAACGATTGTTACGTGCAGACGAGCATGGTTTTTTATGGAAAAATAAAACTCAAATAATCTAAAAATGGTCCAAATGAACATGTTTTGAAAAAATACAAAGAATGACGTCAAATCATTAATGTCGTTTTTTGACGTCTTCAGCCTCCGGCACCAAAATCTCCAGTTGACAGCGGAAGACGTCGAGAGACGTCATGGCGAATTAGTATTGTACATCATTACTTATTATCTAATACAAAACTTAATAGTAATTGATACTAATATGACTGAACTATTACACATTTTGGCGATGTGCAGAGAAGCAAGGCTCTAGACAAAGTGCTGGTTTCGCAGGACAGGATGGACAATGATATACTGCTTCTTTGCGAGTTTTATTTTTATGGCAATTAGTGCACCACCGATGTGCGTGTTTCTTTTTGCCTCCCATTTGGAGATTTTTCGCAGAAACATGGCTTATAATTTGCTGTATTTGAGCAGCAGCAGCAATGTCTCTATTTTCAGGAAGAAGGTATTCCAGAAGTTGTAGTCTGTACTCATACAATGCTTGGTTGTTCAAATTTCTTGAACTTGAACTGAATCCCAAACGGCAGCATCCACATGGACACAAAAAGGTAGTGCTTTTTATTTCCGAATGTTTCCTAATATCAGATTTTGATTCTGATTGCTCAAAATAACATTACAAACGTCGTCTAGTATCGACGCATCCACAACAATTTCTCCGCCGTCACTATCGGATTCAGAATCACTCCATTCCATATCCATTTCATAGTCTGGGTCGGCAGTATCGTCGTTTGAATTATACAGATGCCACTCTAATTCTGCCTCAGTCAAAGCAGCTTCTTTGGACAGTTTTTTAGACAATCGGGACTTTTTTACCCCTGACGGCCCTGAACCGCTATCCGCCAAGGTGAACTCGAACGAACAAAATTTTACAAAAGTACAGTACCTAGACAAAGTGCTGACAACACAGTAATACGCTCAATCAAAGGCTGAACACAGACGAAACAATATAAGTCAAGCGAATCCATGGCGTCGAAATACGTCATGCGCCCCACTGCTATACAAACGGATGACGTCTAAAGACGTCATCAGCAGCGAAAGGGTTGGCGAAAACTACCAGTAGTGCGACCGCTGGTTTCTAACCTTTGAAACGCCATGTGGGATTTTGGATTGTTAGAAAATCTTTGCGCCCACAATAGATCAGCTTCTCTGTAATTCTTTCTGCACTCTCCCAAAAATCACATGTCAGCTTTCATATTAAAATTCTCGTACATGTTAAATTACAATAACTTAAGGAAAAGAGCGTTAAAACGTCAAAATTCTCAATTTACGCTTGCAGTTTACGCGTTGTCATGGATATGAAAGACAATTTGAAAAACCACTGACTTAAACATGTTTAATTGTATTGAAATTCAATAAAACATAAATTGTCGATAATTGTGTAACCAGATAAGTAAACCATGCAAAAATTTGTACACATACGTAGTTTTTCATGTAGAATCAATTTTCAGGATCAAAAATATATCATTTCATTTAAAATTTTAAAGTTGCCTTTACCTCTCAAAGAGGGCGCTCGAATAGCATAATAAAAAATATGTTAAAACATGTCCCCCTACCTATCTATTTCAATTTTTTTTATAAATATATTGCAATCTGTTTCTGAGATATAGCCTTGTAACACTCAGAAATCACGCTGTATTTCACTGAGGCCAAAACAGCCGACGTTTCAAATCGTCAGATAAATAGGACCGCAAGGTTCCTGATCGGCAAACGGCAAAGGGGGAAACCGATAAAGTGCGAACAAATTTCTACGGTACTAAAAATTCCCACACCAGGGGCTTACTCAACACCTGAGCGAATGTGGCCACACCCGAGGTCCAGCAAAACACCTGTTTAGGTCAGAGCACTTGGGTCGGAAACGAGACCCGCGAAAAGCCCGCGATTGGTAAAAAACACGCGATTTTGTCGAACGAGGCTCGCCAACCGCCAGGGGCGCACAAACGCGATCAAAAGAAAACGGCGCGTCAGAAAACTCGGTTTTGAGAAAAAAACAGTGTTCGGGAGACCCTGCACACTTTGTGAAACGTGAGGGTCAGAGGAAAGCAAAAGAACCAAACTTTGGTTGAACAAAACCGCGAACCGAAATTACCGCAAAAAGCTTAAGCGTCGGTACCCTCGAAACTTCTCCGGTCACACCCAAAAAATGACTAAAAATCAGCGCGTTACCCCGCTCGATTGTCGATCGCGCAGGGAGTTCACTCACCGTTTTTTACCGAGTGCCGCTACCCCCAAAGTGTACGCCTTAAGTACCCTTTTTTGTGGAGTCGTCCGCTACACGACAACCAATAGACAAGACCTCTAACAGAATGACGCAAATTTTGAACGACTTAATTAATTTATTTATTCAATTGTACTTAAACGTGACACAAGTGTGTCAACATCATATCACAACATCTATAATGTTCTAAAGAATAAAAACAAAACTTACCCATTCTCTATGTCCGGTATATGTCCTAATGCAATAACCGGTTGACACTTCCCACATTTTGATCGTCTTGTCCCGGCTGCATGAGACTACAAAATCACCGGTCGGTATGAAGGCGACACTCGATACGCTGTGGTCATGACCGAGCATAGTGCGAATACATTCGAAGCTTTGCTGGAAGTCCCAAAACTTGATGCTCATGTCCGAACTGCAAGATACCTACAATAATAGGACCACCAGAATGTAACAGTGTAGAGAACAAATCATACTCCACTAAAAAATTAATTTGACATGTGCAAAAAAAGTTTGTGTTTGACAAAGGCCTTGAGCTTCAAAACACATTTTTGTTCCCCACATGCGGAGATAATCCATACATATTGAAATGAAATGAAAACTATTAAGCAATATTTATACTGAACGACCGGTAAAGACCTGCAACGACACGACAAAACTTTCTTATTAGATAAGTAAAATGGTGCTTTTCACATTAACCGACAACGGCACGGTAACGACACGTACAGGCAACGACGTGGCCGACCGACATTCTTGGAAAGAATATTGAAATGTTGATAAAAACTTTGACGTCGATTTGCTAATAAACGAAGAGGTTTTTCGAGTCCTTTGAAAAGTACATTTTGTGTCTAGTATTTTCTAAGGCAAGTATTAGGCATATTGCTTTTTGCGATATTTGTCGTGACAAAAAAAATATTAGAAATCTAAAATTTTTATTTTAGGTAAAGTGCCATCTAGTGTTAAACTGGAGAAACAAGTTTCAATAACAATCAGACATTTAAATATTACTAAGATAAACCTTTGTACCAGTTTTCAATTTGATCCGCAAAGAAATGTTTAGAACAGGTAAAAGTGTAATGCTGAGTCCTCACCGACTTGACGTTGTCGAGATGGTGTGTACGTGGCAATCGACTGTGTCGATCTACATGTCGATTTGTTTTCCATCGCTTGTCGGTAAAGATGAAAGAGCAGCCGATCGACATTAGTGTGTGGACGTGCCATCGACGTTCGACATTCGACAAAGTGTTAACTCAGTGACGTCTTGCCTTTATGACATGGTAGCCGTGTGTTTTCTTTGGAGAAATGGAATGGAAACACGATAAAGTCATAGCCTTTATTAAGGCATACAAACTAAAAACAAATCTATGGGAGTATAAAACCAAAAACTATAATTAGTGAAACTTGAGGCACGATGCCCTTATGGAAATTGCTAAATAATTTAACGTCGAGAAGCAAGCGATTGAACGAAAAATTTGAAATATTCAAACTAAATTTGCAAGAGAAGTAAAAAAAAAAGGACAGCAAGAAATCTGGCTCTGATACGGAGGATGTGCATAAAAGTAAAGTAATAATACGCCATCTTGGTCAGACATGTTGATTTCGACTGATTGACAAACATTTTCGTCAACTCTGGTGTGAACAGGTGCAGTTTCGTCGCTTGTTGATCAATAATGTCGATTGACAGAGTCGATCGACAGTGTCGACTCGGTGAGGACGCAGCTTTACGCATTTTCCAATCAAGCCAAAACGCGTGGCGCCTGGTCCCCGTTGCGCAAATTAATTTAATTTTTTTTTAATACATACATGTATAGTCAAACAATAAGGCAAAGCATCAAACACTGCCATACATTGGAAAATTATTGTGCAACAACTAGGGATGCGCAGTTTGTTTGACCATGTATGAGCCAGTTTATAATACAGAGTGATTCACGGTCGATGCCCTATTAGACGTTTAAGGAGAATACAAAGTACAACGAAGTCATCGGATATGCTCCATAGGCCTAAAATATTTTTGGAAATGCGAGGTAGCCGCTTATACCGAAAAGTACATACAACTTTGATATTTTAAACGAGACACTCTGTATATTATTGCACCGTTAGATTGGCTATATAGATATGATTATTTTTGCATAACGATTCCTATATCTATCTAAAGCCACTTCCGAAATATTAAATAAAATTCGTTATTTTTAATCAAGACGTAGCCTGAAGGAATCTTGTATTACAACACGATTTCGATACCTGGAAATTTAAAATTTTGGTACTGGGTTGGGAAAACCCTATGCTTGAGACCGGCGTACAGCAGTTTGGTCCAAATTATACAGGATGTCTTGAAAACAATGACCTTTCGGCCAGAGATAAAAACCCCAATTACATTTTTTCAAATAGGACACCCTGTATATTAGTCCAAATACGGGAAGACCGTTGCCAAAATTCGATTATGTCGACGTATTTATCAAAAATGTCATAATAGTTAAAGATTTTGCAATTCTTCAAACCAGTTGTCAGCTTAGTTATTGATACAGCTTCTGTACGCTTTTTATACACAATGAAGAGAAACCAGGTTCTCTCCATTTTGTTTGAGTGAACAGTTTAAGTTTTAATGAACCTATTTATTCTTCACGGAAAATGTGACCAGATTGTTGCAAGGACATGCAAAAAATTCAACGAAATGTTTACTAATTTAAGGCAAATGAATGCAAAGAAGTTTGTGCGAATATAAGACAATTTATTGTCACATTTGAATGAAACATGTAAGCAAACGCATAACTAAGAATTAAAAAAATGTGCCTAATACTTTAAAACGATTTACGAAATGACGGCCATTGCTTTCCAAGCACTTCAAAATTCGTACATTTACAGAGTGGCTTGTGGCTCTCTGTATCTCATCAACATCCAGTTCTCCAATGCAGTGGATGATTCGACGCCGCAATTTCCCTGTTGTTGACCGGGGTCTTGTAAACATTTTCTTTCGATTTACCTCACAAGAGAAAATCTGGAGCCGTAAGATCGGGAGATCTCGCAGGGCAGTCCCATGGCCCCAAGCGACTAAACCAGCGGCCATCAAACATTTCGAAGAGCTCCTGAGTGCAATGAGCCGGTGCTCCATCCAGTTGGAACCAACATGTGCAGTACTCTCTAGATTTTCTAAAAAATCGCTTACCACTGTCCTTGGAATTTGGAGGTACTTGGATGAATTTAACGATTCTTCATAAAGGTGAAACTTTATTTGATTATCCTTTATGAGGCAAAAAATATTGATGCTCAATTTTTCTTGAAATGTCATTTGATAAACAAAGTGTGAATTATAATCCGCCCAAAAATGTTTATTTCGTCTATTGAAAATGCCCTCCCTGAAAAACTTGACTTCATCTGTCCAAATTAAATTTTTTACATTGCTTTGGCTATTTTGAACCATGGCTATTTTGACAAATACGTCGACATAATAGAATTTTTGCAAAAAAGTCCATTTATTTCGGAAATTGGACGTTTTAGGTATAGAAACATGATATATCGATTCACACGGAATTTAACGGTCTTCCCGTATTTGAACGAATATACAGGGTGTTCTATTTGAAAAAATGTAATTGGAGCAGTTTTTATCGCAATCCGAAAGGTCAGTATTTTCAAGACATCCTGTATAATTTGGAACAAATTGCTGTACGCCGGACTCAAGCATAGGGTTTTACGAACCCAGTACCAAAATTTTTAATTTCCAGGTATCGAAATCGTGTTGTAATACAAGATTCCTTCAGGCTACGTCTTGATTAAAAATAACGAATTTTATTTAATATTTCGGAAGCGGCTTTAGATAGATATAGGAATCGTTTTACGAACCCAGTACCAAAATTTTAAATTTCCAGGTATCGAAATCGCGTTGTAATACAAGATTCCTTGGGGCTACGTTTTGATTAAAAATAATGAATTTTATTTAATATTTCTAAAACCGCTTTAGATCGATATAGAAATCGTTATGCAAACATAATCCGATCTATTACGCCAATCTAAGAGTGCAATAATATACAGGGTGTTTAATTTAAAATAGAAAAGTTGGATGTACGTTTCGGTATAAGCGGCAACCTCGCATTGATGAAAATATTTTAGACCGATATATACCGCATATCTGGTCACTTCGTTGTACAAATTTGCAGATAGATCGTATATCGCGTTCTCCTTAAACGTCTAATACACCATCGACCGCGAATCACCCTATAGAAGTATATTCGCCCAACCAATCTTATGTTTTAGCTTTGATAAAGAAAAATTGCGTTCTAAGTTCAAACTTGCTTCGGCAATCAATAAATCGCTTAAATACAAGGTGTTTCATGGGGAAGGACCCATCCGAAAATAACTAGTTTACTATATAAACAATAGCTTAAAAATGCTTCGTTAGGAATTTACAGTGTTTTACTAAAACTAATTTAAAAAATGCAAAATGATAAATTTCTTCTAAACGCATGGAGATGTTTTACGGAAATTGTCCACTCCTTGTATTCCAAATGAAAAAGTCTCTTCAATTTTTTTGATACGACAAGCAGTTAAGGTTCTAAAGTAAGATTTGTGGTAGGTGGCCCAAATTGGGCACATTTAAATGGGAACCATCGTTTCGAAAACACAAAGAAAATATTTTGCGAAGTGTGAAAGATGTGTGGGGTGTAAGGGCTGCACTGCAGAGGTAGTACCTCTTAGTTTGAGACGGTCGCCTCTAGAGTCGTAGACTGGAGACAATTGGTCTTCACAGGGCAGCCAGCTCTCGCTTATGGCTCCACGCGCCACACCCTGGAAACTGTATCGACCTGCAATCGCAAATATGGCGAGAAAATTAGTGTTGGGCAGCAGCAACATTAAAATTAATTGGTCGGCGTATTTCTAGATATAGAACGAAAGCGGCACCACAAACATAGTTAAAGGCGCGACAAGGAATGTCTCAACGGTTTTAATACTGCGATGAAGGCAGGAAACCACCTCATTACCTTCCCCAGGAAAACCAAAAGACTGAGGCTTAGTTGAGTCTAAGCAATTAGACTGAGGGATTGTGCCTCAGTCCCCTGCAATTCTTAAGTGATCAGGGGGTACTAAGAATCTCCTCGGCCAGTAATAAAGAAGAATGTTGCTACCTGGAACAAACGAAGAATGTTTTAATCTGGTTAAACCCACAACGCCATCAAGGAAATGAAAAGAATGACCATCAAAATTTTGTGGATCAGCGAACTGAGATGGCCATATTCTGGAGAATGTCGGATCGACGATAATCGTGCTACTATGCTGGCAATGACGAGATAAATCACCACAATGGCGTGGGGCGCAAAGTTAGTGGATGCACAAGTACAAAAACGGTAAAATCTTTTGTCCTGGTTTCTGACAGAGTAGCATTCTTGCAGCTCAGATCCAGCCCATAATGTCAACATCATCCAGATATTTACACC